TTACGACATTCTTAACTTGATACTATATAAATGACATCCGTTATACGACCCTGACTATTAACGGCATTCTTAATTTGAAACTATTTAAATGTGATCCGCTATACGACAATGATTATTTATGAAATTCTTTACCCTAGATCATTTGAATGACATCCGTTATACGACACCGACTAATTACGACATTTTTGAACGCGTCACTAATGACAACCGCTATATGAAACTGACTATTAACGGCATTCTTAAATGATACTATTTAAATGATATCCGCTATACGACACTGACTAATTACGACACTCTTAACCATAAACAATTTAAATGCCATCCGCTATACGACGATGATTATTTATGACACACTTTATGCGAGATTATTTGAATGACAACTGCTATACGACACTGACTAATTACGACATTTTTAACGCGTCGCTATTTAAAAGTCATCCGCTATACAACACTGATTATTTAAATGACAACCACTTTATGGAACTGATTATTTACGACATACTTTATGCGATACTTTTTAAATGAAATACGCTATACGACACTGACTAATTATGACATTTTTAACACGACACTATATATATGACATCCGCTACTATAGCGGTGTTTCCGGATGACTTCCTCTTTCTAATACTTTGTCCACCGCTTTGTTTTTTCCGCGGAATTCACGAATTCACTGGATTTTGTTGCCTGACATAATCTGTGATTGACAGTTCTGTGCTCATCAATTAGCGTTGATAATGTCTACGATACATCCAACGGAAGTATTTTGCAATAGTAAACAAAGGCCTATACTTTGCTTTGTGTTTCGCCACATAAGAAGTTGCCTTTTTCCCCGGTGTTCAAGTAAAGTTCGAAACATTGAAGTTTGACTATTACTATATTTTATGTTTAGGATAATGAATATTTCCTTTCTGGTCTGGCATCTTTCCGGTGATTACCGAGTCGGGCATCACTCTATTTTGTGTTTCTTCCTATCAGATTTTGTACACGCATTCTGGAAAGTGTTCCTTAGATCTTCAGTCCCTGAGGTTTACTATGATATTGTTGAGCGTTTTTTGAAGTTTTGTGGCCGTTGCTTTCTCATTTGCATATGAAGCCTGGATGGCGATTGTTAACGACGTCAATGACCCCGACTTACCCTTACACCTCATGAAATTGATAATTTAAAACGTTATTAGCAATAGCGTGACCTCAAAAGGTCAACGTGATGTTGTCTCACTTTGTCTATGATTAACATGATCTAACCATGACCCTCTACGGTTAATAAAAGCTACAACAAGGTTATACTTTCTTGTTTTACATTTCCAACAACGTTCTCAGAGCAAACACATCACTTTGGGTTGTTCCAGATCTTTTAGAATCACTTGTTACTAATGGGGATAACCGTTGTTTTATTTTGATTTGACATTATTCCCTGATTATCTTACCGGAAAAACAGCTTTCTCAATTGATTCCAGTTTATTTCCCGGCCCATCAAACTTCGTTGCGGGAGACATGAATACACTTTATGTGAGAGTATAACTAACATGTTAATAGTGGAACGCCAAGAGTTAACGAAAACTTCCATCAGTGAGGTGTATTAGAAGGACATCATATGACCTTTATTCACTATTTGAAGCTAAGTGTTTTAGGATGGCCTGATATAATTGATACAATTGATCAATCGAAAAACAAATTGACATCTAATCTACACGATCGGCGTACTACATATCGTAAAGTCCAACTCTTTCTTAAGCAATTGGACGTGCTGTAACCATGATTGATGCAGAAACGCAAACCTCAAAGTGAAAAATCATGAAAGGTATGTTTGATTCACCCTGTCATTTAAGTTTCAAGGGTTTAACATTGGTATGACTTAAGATGTGAGATTTTTTATTTAAAAGCAAAAAGAAAAAAAGACACTTACAATGCGCACATTTAACTAATATTTATTTACAGATGCACAATGAATGCAGCAATACACATTTTACAATCATATGAGTAAGTATGAAGCATTTCTAAGAAAAGTATTCTGTCCTAATCCACACGGCAGCATGTCTGCAAGGACTACATGCACGAATGATAACGAGGAAGTATCTACTTCTACCCTCACAATAATAGGATAGAATTCAAAATGTCGGTCTCCTCAGGTTCGATCCAAATGAAAACCTGACAGTTATGACATAGTAGATTTATGCATTATAAACTCGACTGAAACATTCTCAAAAATAGTTATAACTGGTCGAATGGTTTATTTTACAGTCACATTTACAAACATGTCCCCACAGTCGGTTTGTATTGAAACATCATATCTGTTTTTGTTTGTGGTAATGGCAAAAGTTTCAACAGAAAACTAATTGAGATACATTTCTGAAATATATGTTGATATAATAGCATATTTGAAGTGGCAAAAAAGAAAAAAAATATCTGGGGTAAATTCCAACATGCTTAAAAATAAAAAATGAATACATCACCTATCGACTTGCACAGTATTCTTTTGAGGTTCTCCGGAGAAAAACAAAACAGGTTTATGTCATGAATGATACTGAAAATTATCATAGACATTTTTTTTTTATCCCAGTCATTATCAAATATTTTGTAATCATACAAAAATTGAAATTCAAATAAGGTTGTAGATTAAATACTAAAATGATACATTTATGCTTATCCTGACGAAGCACTTTAACGTTCATCTTCTACACAGTTATGTTTATAATTATCTAATAAATACTGTAGTCAGCTAGAACTTGCATTGATTACACAAAAATGTATAAGATGAGTTAAATATTAGATATAAGTTACGTGTAACACACAAGTGATACGCATCAGAACGTTGTGCTGCAGCAAAAAATACAATAACTTTACAATATTGTAGCGAAAGGACTCTTGGAAAATGCGCAGATCCTGCGTTTTGCTTCTATCCTGTATAATGTATGATGGAACTTTACCAACAGTTGCAAATAATGGGTCCGCGCTTGTTCTGTGGAACATTAACTTTGATTTTTTGCTATAGTTTTACCTCTTTTAACCGACAATCGTGCATAGACATCACTCATCGATAAGACTACTACTTCGGAACTGATTTAAGCTAACTATACGTGCTCAAAAATTGTCATGTGCTATTATTCATTGATTAATTGAACATGTCTTAAACTCATTAGCAAGACGCTTTCGGTAACAAGTATGGTGATTCTACTGATCCGACTGATAATAGCCTTTCAAAAAACATTATTAGTGTTTCGGAACTGCAAACCATGCCACCGCGATAAATAACACAATTCATTCCTGGTAAGATAAAAAAAGATGTGAAATGAATGTGGCATGAATATATGAAAGGATGCTCACCAATCCAAAACAGCTGTCCACATATACATAAATCTCCATGGCAATTAAACGTACGATATACAGTTAGTGTATGTATGTCATAGTTTAATTCTACATGAAGCTACAAAGGTCCAGTTAATATTTAGTCAGATATATCACTATATACGGCAAAATAAAAATATATAAAAATGATATTTATACTATAAGCATGTACAATCTAGCATGTACGACATATAACAAGTAGCATTGTTAGTTTAAACCGATCGATACTATGATCGATAATGTCCTACATACAGTTACATCCATGTATCCCGTATCTGGAACAGACTCTTCTCTGTATTTCTCTTCAGCCATCGTCCTAAGACGATACAAGCCTTTTCCTCGAGTGATCTTGGTTTCCTGCGTTCTATTTCTGACAGAACATCTTGTGTAAATCCGAGAGATCGTCCAATCATTCGCCAATATTTTGATCGAATCCTCTTCTGGTATATCCCCAAAAGCGTTTCCTTCTCGTGATCTACAAAACAGTATCTTAAAGAATCGGTATTGCTTAAAATTAGAAAAATATTATGCAAGTGCTTGCAACACGTATATACCTTTACTTAAAAAGATTATATCATATAGATAATATAACTGAATCTGATAATGGATTTAGATTGTATAATAATAGATATATATATCATCGGTAGCATTATCCAAGATAAAAATTGTCATTCTTACCAAGACGCCGGTTTCTCCCTCTGAACGACTAAAATGATAAAACGAACAAAATAGTATAAATTATGTAACCTTAAAGTTAATATTATATATGTTTAAAAGATTGATAGTTTTATAACCTTTGTTTATTGTGATTTACAAAGATCTCTATTGGAGACATCATTATATGGTTTCCAGATTAAGTATTTCACTTAGTTACTAATCACGTGTCACAAAAAATGGAATTATCAAAGTATCCTTGTTTGGACATTAAAAGGACCTGTATTTAATTTATTTGAAGAATATAAAACATAACTTCATATGCATAATGCGTTGATTTAAAAATGGTTATATGTTTATTGTTTAACTATTATGTTTGCCGTGCATTTTTTTTATAACAAAGTACTACTTACAAGTGCGTAATTTGATTCATACGGTGCGATTGATGTTTTCACACTGAAATGAACAAACTCTCAACAGTTGCATATTTTCCCCAAAAAAAAATTCACGTATAATAGTATTAATTCATCAATTGAAAAAGTATACCCGATCTCAAAAAGGCAGACTCATGACTGATATATTCTGAATAATTCGAACATGATGCGCTTAGAAAGTCACTCGTTAATTTATGCATTGAGATTACATGTCAATCTGCGCAGACTCTTTTTTTCGCATTAATGTGTGTGCCACTATATCGCGAGTTTATGACTCATGAAAATAATCAATTATCCATATCATTAAACTTACACGTTTAGTGAAACATGATTTAATGCGCACGCATACAAAAAGGTAAGTTCTGAAGATACATGTTCGTACAATATGAGTATCCATGTAATATGTTCAGCACCCCATTTTCTACTCCGTATCAACCAGAAACCTCTTTATTGGTCCTAGGGCGCGGAGGCCCAAGAGCGAATATTGTTTGAGATTCGACAAATAAAATGATATAGAAATGGTGAGATGATTGTCTTTTGTATCGTATACTACACACTATAATTAGGTAAGTATTACAGTTCAATAATTCCAATAACATATAATCAGATGTAATAAAAGCGTGTTTCCTGAGAATTTTTGTAACTGGAAGGAACAATTGTATTACGTGTTATAGGCAGTTGAGTAGTGTGTCGTTCGGATATGCCGCGTGCGTGTTGATATGTAAATGTTCAAGTTGAACTTTTATCAAACTTAGCAGTATCACTCATGACAAAACAAATAGCACAAATCCATGTATATGATAAAACATTTATTATAACTGAAACCTTATTTAGAACCTAAACAATACAGTCTCATAAACACATATGAAAACACTCATATTCCTTCTAACGCATTTTCTGATTCCAGTATGTTAACCTAAAGAAAACATTTGATACACAATTCTTTCTGTCAGTTACAGAAGCTACTTCATCTTATATAACTTACCCTTTCGGTAGACAATCGATCTGGACGCTTAAGTCTTTGTCGGACATTCTTTTACCGGCAACTCCTTCTTTCCAGTCCAGATCCCCTTGCTTTGTCAAAATCTTGATTTCCGGTTTCTGATCTGTAAACACAATTTGATATGGTGTAGTCTCGTTCATCCAGACGCTTCACCATTGGTAATTCAAGAGTATGGTCAAACACAGTACTTTAAAATGACCATCATCAACGGGCAGTACTTTTACTTTCGTGTCCGTACGTTATGTCAACGCCGTTAAACTATTCAAAGAATAAATAAATTAATGAAAACTATTGCTTGTACATGCATTCCTGAAGTATCGTTGTATTCACTATTATCGAGAAAAATGTAAGAACATGTATCAAATCTCCAGAATAATGCCCTACATTTCCACTGAATAAATCATAACTTAGCCCAACGCCAACAAGCCTGACTGAGATTGGAAAAAAGCATGCAAGGCAAGTGATATTCTACTTGTACACCATTCAAAACACTAAATCATTCTTGAGATTTGAAGCATTTTCTAACATTTACGCGATAATAGTGATAACAATGATACTTCAGGAATGCATGTACAGGTAAGTTTTTTACAATCAAAATATACAATTTCGCACCACTCAAATTGTATGACTTCAAAAGTTGAAAAGGGTGTGTCTACCTTTGACCAATGGAATAATATACCAGAATTCTGGTAAGCCTCGTTATGACTTCACAAAACGATAGCACTGGGTTTGACCAGACTCTCTGTTCGGCGTAGCTTGCGCAGACAAGTGTCTGGTTGAACGAGACTAGATATGATGTTGAGTCTTTGGTAAGTACTTTTGATAATTCAAAATAAAAAAGTTCGAAACACCGTTTGGAATTAACAATGTATCAATAATAATAACAAGTCACGTATACAATTGTTCAATAGGATTTTACGCTCATCACCTGCTGGCGGTTGATTGAGTACTTTCTTCCCAATATACTGCACTGTGATTGGTCCCGATACGTCACCCCTGGCCAATACGTGTAATATAGGAAACTTATCTCCCGGTTCCAACTAGCAAGATAAAAAAGTATTCTATAATAGAGAGTTAAATTGTTTAACAAGTCGTGTATATATAGAACAGAGTTTCAGTTTGATGTCTGATTTATCAATTACAAAATATACATATCCGGCAGATTTAAAAAAAATATATATATATGTCTAGGACAACTTTTTTCAATTTGTCTTACAATGAATTATTACATTTAGGTGATGCAGAATAACAAGGTTCAATGAAAACATTAAGTTTTGTTTCTCTTACGGCAACAACTAATGTTAAATAATTGATGTCAGTTCTTACAAAATATTTTAAAATGGGGAAAATATTACTCTTCGTGAAGATTAATATAAACCTTTCTTAGTTCAAATACAAAATTCCCCGCGAAACAATTTATATTCCTTTTATAATGTCTCTGTATACATTTATTCCGTTTTGAGGGTGCAAGTGAACTAATCTACAGCAAGAACAGTATATACCACCGTGGATTATTTAACGGATGGTCATGCTATTCTGATCAGGGAGATTTTCGGGAATCCTGGCACCAACACGATTTTAATTTCCATCAATACATCACTCATCAAAATGGGTTTTACTCAATGTATCGCAATTGAAGTCAACGTTGTTTTCGTTTGTGGAAGAGCAATAACTATGCGTCAAAGGAAACGGATTACAGCGAAATGAAGTTACAAAACCTGTCCTAATAAACAGTATTTTAAGTATAAACATTTATATTTTACAGGAATTGTAAAACAAATTATTTCAACTTATATTAATTACTCTTGTTGATCCGCATGCTTGCAAGCGGGGGATCTTAATATGGAGGAAATCAGAGCTAAATCTTTACTTCTTGGATTATTAGTTTTTTCATTCTAATACGGAAGAGCCAGTAGAGGTATATCGACGGCACACTTTGTATGTCAGTATGCATTTTCAGTTACTCTTTATGATTTAAAAAACCAATCATTTCAGTGCTGATGCAAAACTTTTAACGAAAAGAGTAGCAACTATTCACTTATGTTTGCATAAGTTTATGTTCTTTTCAATATTACGGATACGATACAATGCGTATTAAACAATGCGTATCTGAATCGAGTAATTTCGGTGCATATATAACAACTATTGTACATACGCTTACAGCGTAGCCGAATCGAAATCGATTTTGTGGACAACTCGTACACATTTTTACACCTTTGTGTGCATACGCTTCACTGGTCATTTGTCTGAAGAGGTTATTAGTTGTGTAAAAAGAACCATTCATAATCCATACTTACCAACCTGAAGAAAATGTTTAGAAATATGCAATACGCTTTCACAATTTCTTCTCAAGTGATTAATTCCCATAGATTTCAAGAATACGTTAATCTTAAGGTGTAAAAAGATCCACACAAATTTTAATTACTGCAATGTTTGAAAGGTAAGATAAGAAAAAAGTTCTTTAACAAAATGTGCATTTAAGTAATTTGATTGCTTTAATAACAAAACAAAATTTCAATTTTTATGAAAACTGTAACTAAAACCTAGCAAAATCGTTTTCAAAATATATATGACTATATGAGTTTTATCAATGTTCATTAATGCAATCATATGCAATTAACGTTATATTACCAATATCTGGATGACGGTGTTCACTGAGACAGACTCCTCTGGAAACATGAGTACTATTTTCTTGTGCAATCCCGGGATATAAAATACATCTTCGGTTTTAGAAAGAACATGTTCAAAAGCATTGTTTTGTTGGATGGCAGGTGCAATACCGGGCCAAAGGTCGGAGGCTACAGCCAGAATGTACCGTGGACAATAAGGCATGGAAGCGGATAGATATACCTGGAACAAAGCATTACCATCTTAATGTGTTAACATACATAAGTGTCTTAGAAGTATTAGGGACTCAAATGTAAGGACGTTTGCATTATTTTTCATTGAAAAGAAGAAAATAGAAGCTGAGATGGAAAGCTCACAAGTCAATTGATTCTGTATTATCATTTATTTATGTACCATACACGGTAACAATAAAAGTTGACAAAACCCGTTGGAGCAGTTTAACTAGAACTATAAAATCAAATTAAAGATGATAACTGAGTGATGCAGATTATTTACAGTTTTGTTTCTTTTTTCTTTTTTTTGTCGTTGTTTTGTCCATAATTGAGTAAATATCTCTGGTAAAGCAACATGTAACTAAGGATACTAAGGTATCAGTTTTAAAAACGGTTGTATGGTGATCATATATAATATCTTCAGTTTATTGTAGTTACCTCCCCTTCCCATGCCATGGCTTGTTGGGCGGTATGTTGTCGCCAATCACCAGAGTTACCACTATGTGTGATGAGGAATGTCGGTCGGCGAAACAGGTGGGAAGATGGTACTTTGATAGTTACATAGCACTTAAAAATATAAACATAAATATCGTCCTGTAGAAACATTTTTATCGATTGGTCTGTCATATTCAACATAAAAGATATACAAATAAATGAAAATATACAAGAGGCCCAGAGGGCCTGTATCGCTCACCTGGATATCTTAAGGGTGAGACAGACCCCAAGGCCATGCTGGAAACATATGTGCATTCATCTCTTTATACTCAGCAATTGTATATATGGTTATAGGTTGGGGATCTCAACTGTTTCCAAGCTGTGACTAAGAAACTAGGTCCCTAGGGGTTCGGTCAGACCAAATGGTCTATTCTAAGAGCATGACTTCATTCGTCTCTTTATGCCCAGTATTTGTATATATAGTTCTGGGGTGGGAATCTCAACCGTTTCAAAGTTATGACCCAGGGACTATGACTACAAAGGTGGGGCCAGACCCTAGAACCACCCTGGAAGCAAATGTGCACTCTTCCCTTTATGCTCAGCAATTGTTTATATGGTTCTACGGTGGGGACCTCAACCATTTCCAAGAAATACATGTTTTTTGGCCCAACCCCTTAGCTCGGGGGTTCAGCACGACCATTTGTACAATTTTGAATACCTGCCTACCATGAATGCTTCCGACCAAATATGATCGATATCCATGGCATGGTTCTACAGAAGAAGTCTTTTTAGCAATATAGCCAAATTGACCCCTTTTGGCCAAGCCCTCAGCCCCCTGGGGGTCAGCCACACCATTTGTACAATTTTGAATCACCACCACCTAGGGATGCTTCCGGTCAAATATGGTTGATATCCATCTCTTAGTTCCAGAGAAGAAGTTGCTTAAAACAATATAGCCAAATTAGCCTTTTTGGCCAGCCCCTCAGTGCCCTGGAGGGTCAGCCACACCATTTGTACAATTTTTAATCCCTGCCTCCCATAAATGTTTTTGATCAAATATTATTGATATCCAGTACATAGTTCTACAGAAGAAGTCATTTGCAGCAATATAGCCAATTTTCCCGCTTTTGGCCTCGCCCCTTAGCCCCCTGGGGGGTCAGCCCCGCCATTTGTACAATTTTGAATTTCCACGACCTAGGGATGCTTCAAGTCAAATATGGTTGATATCCATATCTTAGTTCCAGAGAAGAAGTTGCTTAAAACAATATAGCCAAATAAGGTTTTTTTGGCCAGCCCCTCAGCGCCCTGGAGGGTCAGCCACACCATTTGTACAATTTTTAATCCCTGCCTCCCATAAATGTTTTTGATCAAATATGATTGATATCCAGTGCATAGTTCTACAGAAGAAGTCATTTGCAACAATATAGCCAATTTTCCCGCTTTTGGCCCCGCCCCTTACCCCCCTGGGGTTCAGCCCCGCCATTTGTATAATTTTGAATTTCCACGACCTAGGGATGCTTCAAGTCAAATATGGCTGATATCCATCTCTTAGTTCCAGAGGAGAAGTCGCTTAAAGCAATAAAGCCAAATTGCTCCCTTTTGGCCCCGCCCCTCAGTCCCCTGGAGGGTCAGCCCCACCATTTGTATATTTTTGATTCCTCACCACCTAGGGATGCTTCCAGTCTACTTTAGTTAAATTCCAATCAGTGGTTAAGAAGAAGTCGTTTAAATAAATTGTTGACGTACGAACGGACGACGGACTCCACGGTATGGCATAAGCTCACCTTGGTCCTTCGAACTAGGTGAGCTAATAACGTTTTCAGAGAACTAAAGGATACCGTCATATCACTTTTCATTCAATTCTTCGTTCACAACAATGACCTACGTTGCTCTCAGAGTAAGCGGAGCTCCAATAGAAACCACATGTTGTTATCAGACATTCGATCAATATACGTGTTCACGTGACGGACTCCTCTCACAACATTAATTCTATTTTCTTGCATTTTTCTTGAAAATTCAATTTCCTTTATAAGTCATCACGGTTAATATGAAGTTATTTTGCTAAACGCTATTTTAAGGAGCCAAAGAAAAAGGTCACGGAAAATCAAACAATAACAAGTATTTATTGAAAGTTTAACATTAGCTGTTGAGAAATAAAGCAGAGGTAGCGAATTATCTATTTAAAGTTAGTCAACTTCGATACAAATTATGACTTTAAACAGGAAAAGCAAACCTTGACGTTTTTGCTATGTTTTTTTGATACACGTTAATCGTTAAAAGAGTCGAACAAAGTATTACTATATACTTGGGAAATTTCCGCTGCAGTTCATTTTCGCCCTTTTCGTCCTCCTTTATGAAGGCGGGTTAATCATCACAGCGAACATAAGTACATTGTAAACAACATGTTAGATATAAAAATTATTTTGAAGGGTTACCGGCGAAGAATGAAAGTTTGACTTTGCAAAAGATTTCTGGTATACAGTATTGACCCTTTTTCTCAAGTTTTGTGTTAGTAAACTTTTAATGTTTCCTCAAATTTTACTATATCAGCTGAATATATGATGATTGTGTGCTTACCGGAGATTGTCGACCACCTCGGACGTCCGTGCTGCTTGACAATGCACGTGCATGTTGTCTGTTAGGAAAGTTGATTCTGAAGAACATACTGAGTGGGTCAGTATAATTTCCGTATGGAATCAATCCCTGATTATCGGCCTCAGATGTCGTGTAGCAGTCCACATCAATTCTACAGCTCACCACTTCAGCTAGGAACTCAACGACTAACATGTCATCTGCCTCAGACCAGTCGTTAGAATATCTGTAAAATAAAATGTTCGGGAAAGAGAAACATGCTCATTATATAGAGGCACTGACTTAACAAACGGGCATAATCTGTTATAGATTTGCCTTTTTTTCAACCACTTCAATAAATGAAGCATAACTGTTCTCGTTCGTAATATACCCATTTTTGTCATTGCGATTCACAGCGCCTTTATGCCCACATGCATTCCATGTCGCTACTGTGTATTACTCGCCGGTGATCAATACGACGTTTTAACACTAGCATGAGATAGTTTTTCAAGCGCTTCTTTGATTTGGTAAATTTGTAACATGCCGTCTGCTAGATAAACACAGGCATTCTCGGAAATGCATTAATTGTGCAGTAAGTCTAACGTATCTTTATTTCAAAAGCAGAGGACCATAGGGTTTTTTGTGGTGATTTGATGTGAGAATTCTCCACAGCTCATTGACTTTCTGTATAATAAAATAAATACTACATGCATTAGAGAGTGACAGTGCCTAGAGCCAGCCCGAGGTTATCACTGTCACACTCGGCTTCGCCTTGGGTGACAGTGATATCCGATGGGTGACCCTGTAAAATGTCACACTCTAATGCACGTAGTTTTTATATAATAGATATTTATGTATATAATTGATAACTTAATCGAGTTTGCTATGACTCTTATACCTTACAGAAAGTACTGTTTACCGGGAAATTTTCGCCCAGTCAAACTTTCAGCCTTCACCTATGAAACAAATATTCACTAAGTGTTTAATTCGCTCTTCACATTGAATTGCTATATGCATTATGCTAATTATACTAAATATTTTGCTGTAGTAATGTATTTGCCCTCATTACGGAGGGAGAAAAAGGTCGAATATTTACATGCAGCGAAAACGTCTCGGATTTTTTTTTTATTATATATATTCATATTTAAGTTTCATCGGCTCTCTGATGAGGTTGTAGAAATACGGATAAACAACATTTCTTGATTGTTAGTGAACAGCTTATACCTGTATTGGATTCCATTTGGTGTAGCCCTACGTCGACATCCACGTCTCAGGTTTACCAATATAAGACATAGGTTTTCTTTTTCCATTCTTTCATGGTCGTCGTCTCGGAGCAATAGCATTACGGATGACAGGAATTGGTCGAACTTAATCTCGCTCTTCTATTGAAATTGAAAACAATATGCATATAACGCAAACGTACAACAGAAAAAAACGGCCCAAAATTGATGCCCAACGGCAATACTGGCGAAAGTGGAGACGGCAAAACATCGGTAATGATGCCATTGGTATACACAAAACATTTAATACTGAGCAAAGAATAAAGAAATATTTGCATATAATTGTTAATTTACGTTCTTAAATAATTGTTCTCAATTATAAAAGAAGAAAACGTATTCTTTGTTAACCATTCACACTTAATCCTGCAGCTTTTTGGATCGTGTAAGCTTTACCTAATATCAATACCCTTTTTTTATCGCTGTAATATACTATCACTTAAGTGAATAAGCTAGCAATCAAAGTGTATATTTTCTACTGAGGTTTTCAATTAAAATCTTAAAAATATCAATAACATCGTCTGTTACTGGCGACAGTTGTGATTTTTTTTCCAGGTACTCCGGTATCCCCCCC